ATTTCTTTCTCCCCCTCTATCTCACAGTGTTGGAGGGGTGTCTGTGTTTTTCTCCTCCGCCAGCCTACGTCAGACACACACGGCGCGCATTGTCATGATCCAGCTTGATCATCATAACGCTACCCAGAGCAGGAAAAAAAAATCTGTGATAATATTCCCACAGGGATGTAATGATGTGTATGTGGTGCTCAGCAGCGGGGTTATATTGATCTCATATTGAATTTTTAATCTTTTAAATATCGCTTGAGTATTCATATGGGGGTTTGGGGTTTGATGTGATTTGCCCATTAATATTGAATAATAAATATTAAAACAATAAAGTGTTAACTGACCCGTCTACAAAGAGTGCAAGCCTTCTTCACCTTATAAATAAAAAATGAACACTTTCTTTTGGTGTATTATTTAAATATATATCATGTGAAAGGGTCATGACTGCAATAGGGGAGACCGGGGGCAACTGTAACAATTTTTGGTTTTGATGTCTATAGCTATGTTTCCATCCAAAAGTGATTTGAATCATTGGGAAATGCGCATTAAAAGAAATACAAATCCTGTGTGTTTCCATTAAATGTATGGACTTTGGTGAAAACTACGAACTTGTGCGAGTTTTCCGCAGAACCGGAAACAAAACAAGTCTCGCATTCTTCTTCTTCTATGTTTTCTGGCGGTTGGCAACCACCTTGTAAATGCATTACTGCCTTCCCAACCTGGAGTGTGGATATCACCATGGAGAGAGGTGGGCTATGTCTGACTTAATTAGAACATAACTGTTTCCATCCCTCGTTTTGCGAATCAACATTTTTTCAAATCAATCAAAACCTGGCTAAAGCGAGCGTATTTTAGTTTGTGCGAATCAGGGGATTTTAATTCAAATTTTGGCGTTTCCATCATAATTTTGCGATGCGATACTTCTAGATGCGCATCTAAACAGGCTGATGGAAACATGGCTATTGGTAAAAAACCTCTTTAACTATTTGGATTTTTTTTCTATTGGTAACTTGTATCTGTGTTCTACTTTTTTACAGTGATCAATTGACCCTTGGCCAAGCCCCACCCCTTTTTGATGGTCTGTCAAGCTATCTGAGTTATCACAGAGCATATTTAGAACTTCAATTAAAAGCCCGGGCTATTATTTGCTTGAATCACTGAAATCAACAGGCCTATATTTGGGACAGGCCTTTAATTCCTTCAACACAAAACTGTTGCTCAGCAAATATGGGAAATATGTTCATATCGTTTCAGAGGGAAGTAGACAAAAGGGTCTAAAATATGTGTTTGAAGGATATCTAGTAGGGTTGTAAGAATCCGTCCATCTGGATCAATATATTGATTCACTGACCAACGAAAACATCTTTCTATATCGTCACCATTAGGATACACATTTATTTTGAAAATCAGGCAGATGACAAGCAGTTGAGAGACAGACGATGAGGATAACGCCATTAGATTGGGGATTAATCAGCAGTGTGGGTATATTTTTGATTTTGGAGGCAAAAAGGGTCAATAGACAGAGCACACACCATACGTACTCACTCACTCACTCAGCAGTAAAAACAGGTTAAAAAGATATAATTAGAAGCTGACTGTATGGATCACAGTGTAAAAGTGAACCACCACATCACTGGTGATCAACACTGAAGACAATGAGTGTAAAGGGAAACTTTGCTGATATTCAACCAGCTGTGTGTCATCGCAGTGTGTGAGGATGAACGCTGATGAATCACACAATGCGATGACACATCAGCAAAGTTTCCCTGCTTCCCTTCACTGGTTCCTGTACAGCAGGGTCGGTCTTTATTCACTGTTATAATCATTAAAAAGCAAAAGCAGCATGTGTATACATTCAGTAGGCTACATCTTCAGTAGCTAGCTAGCTAACCCTACACTTTTCAGGGTTTGATTTTGGTTTTGGAACAGGGGAGAAACATGACAACTATGTCATCTGACCTGGCTGTAACCTTTCCTATTATATACAAAAGACAGATCTTATTGGTTGTTCGTGGGTTTTTTGTCCCGTGGAAAGGGGCATAAGAGACACAATATTGACTCAAACACTAGAAGTCAAATGTTATATCTGCCCCAACCTGCAGAGGAGAATGTAACGGCATATGTAATACGTTCATATAAATACCAAGGGCCACAATTAACTCCCATGAATGAGGGAGGGATCATCATGGACCATGTGCTTAATGAGTTTCATGGTTCTGTCTCGTTTCTGGTTGGTGCATTTCGAGACGTTATAATCACCCCTTTGTTATATTGAAAATCATTCATCTTAACTCAAACGTGCAATAATGGGTCAACTTGTGCAATACTGCCTTTAATGTTTTGTTTTTATATCTGTAATAATCTCTAATATCTTGTGTATTTATTACTGTCTATTTTTTTATACTCGGGCATGGCAGAGCAAATTTTGTTGTGCTTCTTGTGCAATGACAATAAAGTCTATTCTATTCTATTTTTACAGTGCCACCTGCATGGAGGTTATTATTATTAAGTTGATTAAATTTTTTGGACATTTTGCAGGACAAAATACAAGACATTAGTTAATTACCACCTCAAACTAAAGTTAACCAAAGGACTAAACCTTTTATCATGTATTTGTTAAATCATTTATAGTGATATAAAAGAACATGTCATTTTCTGTTGCTTTTTGTGATGTTGGTATATGATGGAGTGTGCCTGTTTAACAGCAGACATTTTGACTTGTCATAGTAGAAAAACAGCACAGGTGTTACTAATAGCATTCATAATAGCTTCTGTTCAAGTGTCCCAGTTCAAGTGTCCCAGTAAGTCATGACAGTGTGACAGTCAGCCAGCATGCTCAACACCACGCCCCCGAAACTGAAGCAGCAAAATGAAATTCAGCCATCATCAATTTAATTATTTACACCCGTGCTTTTCCTGCTGCGATGTTCAAATGTCTCCTGTTAAAAGGGTTTCATTTACAGAGATCAGACAACAGTGTTATGACGAATGAATGTAGGGACCTTTTTTACTTTTACACAAATTAAAATGAACTTTAAACAGTCTTACTATCCTTACCATTAACTTTTACTACAGGCATGTACTGTATGATCTCATGTAGAGCTGCAAATAGATATTTTTGTTATTGATTAATCTGCGGAATATTTTTACTCAAGTATCAGATATATTTTATCCAAACAAAGTAGGAAAAAAGCATAACGTGACATCTTCACACTGTTTATTTTATCCAGCAAACAGTCTAAAACCCAAAGAAATTCAGCTTTGACTAATACATGACAAAGAAAAGCTGGAAACAGAGAGTGGTTGGCAATTTAGCTTTCAAAAATAAGTGAAATTCACAATTTTCTGTCAAACTAATTGATTAACTGACTTATTGTTTCAGCTCGACTCTCCACAGTATCATTTCTTTACTTAAACACTATTGTTCATTCAGTGTGCAGATTTTCTATCATTTTACAATCTGTTTGATTTTTAGAAATAATATAAACAATACCAACAGTTGTTCACTGCGTGTATTCTGTGCCAAGAGCTTGACCTTCAAGCCCCCTGTGATGACGACCATCTGCCCTGCTGACGTGCTCATGAGCGAAACACTGCAGGAGATAACGGTAAATGAACCTGACCTCTGACTTTCTGGGTGAACAAATTAAATAATAAGTGGCCTACAAGCTGCCCCTTTATTAACTTACTGACAACAACAGGACCAGGTTACACTTCTGTTCTTCGTGTGGCTCTAAACCTACTGTGACACACTTCCCATGTTCTTAATTCCATTTGCTTCATCTGGAAACACACTGGTCACAATATTTGTCCACCAACTCGTCGAACAACCAATAAAGATGGTTCATGATTTTAATATTTCCTCTCTCCAGCTCTCTCGATCCCGTCTTTGGCGCTTTCGAGCAAGTTCAGGAAAGTATGCGCTGTTGTACGGCCTCTCCCTCTCGTTCACCTCCTTCCCTGGCTCCTTCCCTTTTCCGTTCCTCTGGTCGAGCAGGGCCTGGGCTCTCCTCCTTTCTTCAGCCTCCCTCTGTAAGCGCTCGGCACGTAACTTTTCTATGGAGCTGGAAAAGAAAGGAAAGACAGATTTATTTTTATGTCTCTCCATAAACATATTTACATCTTTATCACATTTTATTTATATCACAACATTCACACCCCCAATATCTTAATTATCAGGAAACTGATGTGACCGCAAGAACGGTCTCCCTGGACAGAGCCAGGCTAGTTGTTTCCCCTTGTTTCCAGTCTTTATGCTAAGCTAAGCTAACTGTCTGCTAACTTCAGCTATACATTGAGCATATAGACGTGAGTGTTACCAATCTTATCATCTAAAACAGCTTTCAAACTGAGGGTTCAACCAGGGTTGAGACAGCACTGATTTTATGTTGGAGAGGGTTAACCCGCTAGACCGGCTCAGTTTTGTGACACAGGTTGAGAAGTGTGTCAGACAAGGATCGGACCAGGGTTGATTTCAATGTGAATGGCACACCATCAGTGTCGCTAACAACCGAGAGAGGACAAATTACGTCATTGGTTGCAAATGGGGATGTACAGTCACAGGCTGCTGCGGTTCAGAAAAAGTGCGATGGCAGCAGTAATGTTTTCAGCTACAGCTACGACTTAACAACATAAAGATGTGGCAAGACTTGGTGCAGGAGCTCCCGAACGTCCATGGTGAGGATAAAATTAGGCGGCAGATGACCGGGACGGTGAGGGACAATGTAGAGTGTGCCAACATAATGAGGCTGATGAATGAGAGAGGCATCCACCGTACACAGAAACAGGTCACACAAATAACTCTGAGCAAGACAGAGAATAAGTCTGTTTCCCAAAATGTTGAACTAACCCTTTAAAACTTGGGTTACCAGGCTGAAATCAGTCTACCAAATTAAATGATCATATCTGATGCTTTAAAACATAATATTAGTTTGTTATTATAAGATTATATGTAACAAGATAAACTGTTGTTACCTCTCTCCGCTGCTCCTCTTCTCCCCTCTGTCTCTTTTTTCCGTTTTCTTGCTGCTATGGTAATTCCTCTCCTTTACAGCCAGTGCTTTCCTCATATCTTTCAGTGGGTCTAAACTATCCTTCAATCTGCGATCCTTCTTCTCTCTCTCCTCTTCACTTAATCCCTTCCTCTTGTCTTTTTCTTTCCTCTCTTCTTTTTCTCTTCTCTCTTCTTTCTCTTTGCTGGTCTTCATGTACCACGGAGTGACTTCAGACCCTGGCTGGGGTCCGAGAGACACCAGCAAGCCAATGGCTCGTTCCTGTTTCTCCTGTTTAAAAAGAACAAGGAAAACTAACAGTAATTAAAATGTTCCGTGCAGTGACAGCAGTGCCAAAAGATGCCAAATGTAGAAAAGGGCAAACTAGTAAAATGATTCACTTTTCCGTTGGCTAAACTAATGTCTGAGATTTGATTATAAAGCTGGATCACATCCGTATATTTTAACACTTTGCCCTGAAATAGCAGCTCAGTGTCTCCCATGGTTTTATTTATCTGACTCTCTGTCTGCATTAGTATTTCCCCACTCTCACACTCCATCTGTTTACACTGCTTGTATGCATAATGTGGCTGGGCTGCGTCCAGGATATTTCTTGCTTTGTGACCACAACAAGAGACTGACTGCCTCCGCTGATTTTAAATATCAGACTCAGTGTACCAGCATCTAGATATGACTGATTGATTAAAGATGTACAGACACAAGTTTAACTGTTGCTCAAACATCTCCATGGATAAATGAGCCACAACAGGAACACTGTGTTTTCAAAATGTCCTAATCACATCCTCACTCCCTGTAGTACAATATCTATTTCAGCAACAAACCCTGACACAGGGTGTGTTTGACCAGACCAAACGGTTACCTGCTCATGTTAGTTCATAAAAGATCTTTGTGTGAAATAGTAAATGTACACTAAACCAGGCCAGGCGCCAGGATGAAGTGACTGACGGGACTGTTAAAAATTGCACAGGCAGTTTTTTCGTTAAATGAAATTCATTGATTTAATACTGAGATAGTCGTCTTACTATTATTTGTGTGAACAGATTGACAACCCATGTGTTAATGTGTGTTCTATAAATAAAAAAAAATTAAATAAACTCAAAAAACTATTTAGCAAATACACAGATCTGTAAATACACAAATATGAAGATCCATTTGTCACAATAAAATCTGTGTGAACAGATCAACAATCCGTGTGTAAATGTGTAATCTGTTATTATAAATAACCCTCCACAAATACAAAAAAGATTTGTAAACTCATAAACTATTCTGCAAATATAAAACAGATCTGCAAATACAAAACAGATACCAGAAATAAAACAAAAGACTCAGTGTGCATAAAATGCAGATTCACAAATAAAAACTGGATTTACAAATATTTGACAGTTGCAAATGTTAAGAATTTACAAATGTTTTTAATTTATTTGTAAATTAATTGGATGTATTCACAGATATTTTTCATTTGTGGAATTTGTATGTGTATTTGCAGATCTTTTTTTATAACACATGGATTGTCGATCTGTTAACACAAATACTGAGACAAATCTATCTCCATAATTTAACCATGCAACAGCCTCAGAAAGACTAAATAACAGCAACATGACGCCATTTTTCCAAAATCAAAATCAAAGAAAACACTTATTAATCAGACTCACTGAAGAACGTAGCACTAGCAGAGCGCTACATACAGTGCCCTCCAAAAGTATTGGAACAGTGAGTCCAATTCGTTTACTTTTGTTGTAGACTGAAAACATTTGGGTTAGACATCAAAAGATGAATATGAGACAAGAGATCAACATTTCAGCTTTTATTTCCAGGTATTTACATCTGCATCTGATACACAACTTAGAAGATAGCATTATTTGTAATGGAACACAAAATTTTTAGGTGAGCAAAAGTATTGGAACATATAAACTTAAAATAGATTAAAGTGAATGAGACTTAATATTTAGTTGCAAATCCTTTGCTTTCAATAACTGCATCAAGCCTGTGACCCATTGACATCACCAAACTTTTGCATTCTTCTTTTGTGATGCTTTTCCAGGCTTTCACAGCAGCCTCTTTCAGTTGTTGCTTGTTTTGGGGGGTTACTCCCTTCAGTCTCCTCTTCAGCAGGTAAAATGCATGCTCTATTGGGTTTAAGTCTGGAGACTGACTTGGCCAGTATAAAACCTTCCACTTCTTGCCCCTGATGAACTCCTTTGTTGTTTTGGCAGTGTGTTTTGGGTCGTTATCTTGCTGCATGGTTGCATCTTTCTTTAAATTAGCAGACAAAATGTTTCTGTAGACTTCTGAGTTCATTTTGCTGCTGCCATCATGTGTTACATCATCAATGAAGATGAAAGAGCCTGTCCCAGAAGAAGCCATGCAAGCCCAAGCCATGACATTACCTCCACCGTGTTTCACAGATGAGCTTGTATGTTTGGGATCATGAACAGATCCTTTCTTTCTCCAAACTTTCGCCTTTCCATCACTTTGGAAAAAGTTAATCTTTGTCTCATCAGTCCATAAAACTTTTTCCCAGAATTTTTGAGGCTCATCTCTGTACCTTTTGGCAAATTCCAGCCTGGCCTTCCTATTCTTCTTTCTAATGAGTGGTTTGCATCTTCTGGTGTAGCCTCTGTACTTTTGTTCATGAAGTCTTCTGCGAACAGAAGATTGTGATACCTTCACTCCTGCTCTCTGGAGGTTGTTGCTGATGTCACTAACAGTTGTTTTAGGGTCTTTCTTTACAGCTCTCACAATGTTTCTGTCATCAACTGCTGATGTTTTCCTTGGTCTATCTGTTCGACGTCTGTTGCTTAGTACACCAGTGGTTTCTTTCTTCTTCAGGACATTCCAAATGGTTGTACTGGCTATGGCCAATGTTTGTGCAATGGCTCTGATTGATTGTCCATCTTCTCTCAGATTCACAATTGCTTCTTTTTCACCCATAGACAGCTCTCTGGTTTTCATGTTGGTTCCACCTCTAAATGCAGTCTGCACAGGCAAAACCTATCGTACCCAATCTGAAACTGAGCTCAGACATTCAGTGCTATTTATTGTTTGAATAATCAATGTAAGTGGGAGACACCTGGGCAACAAAACACACCTATCAGTCACATGTTCCAATACTTTTGCTCTCATGAAAAATGGGTGGGTTCAAACAAAAGGTGCTATCTTCTAAGTTGTGTATCAGATCCAGATGTAAATACCTGGAAATAAAAGCAGAAATGTTGATCTCTTGTCCCATATTCATCTTTTGATGTCAAACCCAAATATTTTCAGTCTACAACAAAAATAAAGGAATTGGCCTCACTGTTCCAATACTTTTGGAGAGCACTGTATATATATTTTTAATTTAGGAATGATTTGGTCAAAATCAACAGGGGGAAGGTATGAATAAACAACTGTTGTGGCTGGCAGCTGTCTCGCATGCTTTCTCTGCTCTATTTCAGCACTATGGACAGCGCCCTTACAGCCGTCACATTTATCGCTATCAATAATTTCATTTTTTTGGCTATTTTTCTATAGTTACATAAAACTTAAATAGAGAGGAAAAAACACACAACTGAGGGGCTAAGCCCTTTCAAGACCCTTGTGAAACGAGGCCCACACCACACAGGCTTTTTCATGTACAATACTTATGACGTAAAAGAAAAAAATAGCAGCTTGACAAATATTGCTATCACAAGGTCCACTTACTTATTTTTTTCTCGAGCTTTCAGTCACATCTCATATAGTTGATCAGTCAGATCAGTGGTTAAATGACACTTACATCAAGAAAATAACAACTAAACCACCTCCATGGTAAGTGAGCAAACTGTCTGTTAATGAAGGAGACAAGATGTGGCTGAAAGCTCTGGAAATCCCATGTGGATCTTGTGAGAGAATAAGGTCAAAACTGAAAATAATCTTTCAGGGTTTATTTATTTACACATTATTAAAGCATAAATGACTACTTTTTAAGCATCTTTATGATTTAGACATGTGAGAGTGACAGAGGAAGCAGCAGCGTCACCTTTTCATCCTTCTTTTCTTTGAGATACTCCTCGTTCCCCTTCTTCTCCGAGGAGTCCTCCAGGGGAAAAAGATTAAGATGCTCCAGAGCTCCACTTCCTTCACCGACATCGTCATCATGCCTCCCTTCTCCTACTGAAGTGAGAGCAGCTCGAGCTTTCCTTCTCAGATATTCTGTACGAGCCTGTGGAGAGGAAGAGTTGTTATTCCAAACTAAACATAAAGGCATCTTTATCATGCATCATATCATACTTACTCCACATGAATCTCCTCCTGCTTCAGTCTCGTTATTTATTTACTATGACTAAAGCTTCAACCATGAAGCCTTTGTGGTATTTTGCAAAGATACTTCACAATACAGCAGCAACAGAGTAAATTTTTAAAGTAATATTAGTTAGCTCTGATTTCCTAAGGGAACACTTTATGGTCCTTTAAGGATTATTTTGTAAGTCCAGTGGTCGTCTAGTGGTCACGTCCAAAATAATAATAATAATAATGCTCTACCTTGATTCAGCTGAACTGTTTATGCTGTGTGCTTCTTAAAACTCACACAGATTATCATCTTTAGAAATATAAATAAGAAACACATGTGTAAAGAAAAAATAAATATATTAAACTAAACTGTGGTGTGTTTGTGTCTTCATGTGTTTTTCTGTTCTGGTGATGGCTGTGTGGAGTACCAGCTAACACACTGGTCCAAAATCTCCCACAGGTGTTCAACTGGAACAGATAAAACATAATCATCTGCATTTGTTGTTTTGCCACTTGAATTTGTCGACCATCTGTGTATCTGGATGTCTTGATTTGGTGTTCTTCTGTGAGGCTGTCTAATGCTGCTGTCAGGGATTTCACCTCGATGAAGGCAGAGAGGAAGAAAAAATGTAACTTTCTGTGTGTGAGTTGTCAAAGTTAAAAATATCAATCATTCAATCCACATATTAGCACGACTGCTAATCCTGAGTGTGAATTAAGAGCTGAAATAATTAGTCAAGATGCAAAACATCTGCTGTTTTCAGCTTCTTAAAGTGAGGATTTACTGCTTTTATCTGCTGTATTGAATATCTTTGTGTTTCTGACTGCTGGTCAGACAAAACAAGCAATTTGAAGATGTCACTTTGGGCTCTGAAAAATTGTTGTTAATATCTTTTTAACATTTCATAGATCAAATGATGGTTTAAAGGTCCAGTGTATAGGATTTCGGGGGATATATTGGCAAATATGAAATAAATAATTGGGTTTTCTTTAGTGTATAATCACCTGAAAATAATTGTTTTTGTGTTTTTGTTGCCCTAGAATTATATCTACATAGGGTGCGGATCCTCCTCTATGGAGATCCTAATGTTGCACCATCATGTTTTAACAGAAGCCCAGAACAGAAACCAAACACTGGCTCTGGATATAGGGCCACTCACATTTTCCCGTCGGCCACTATAGTAAGCTGTCCCTCTCCGACGAGAGTTTCAGAAAAACACTGATTTGTAACATGCAACTGCTTTGTTCTGTGTTTTTGCCGGTTTTAATCACTGGAGCTGTTTGTTTTGGAGAGGGAGAGACCTCTGTGGGTAATTCTGCTCATGGTAAGAACCTCCTGAACATCTGGATCTCAATTTATCAGAGAAAAAAGTTGGGTACACATTAGCAGGTGCTGGGCTAGCAGTCGGTCTCAGACATGCCAAACAGCATCTGAGAAGCACTGATTTATAACATGAAACTGCTTTATTCAGTGTTTATACTGGTTTACATCACCTGCTCTGTTTGTTCTTGAGATGAGGCCACCGCTGTGGACAATTTGGCTCTCAGTAAAAACCTCCTGAACATCTGGATCAGAAATGAGGTGGGCACACGTTATCAGGTGCTGGGCTAGTGGCCTGTCTAATAGCGTCCGAGAAATATTGTTTGTAACGTGGACCTGCGTTATTCAGTGTTTGTACTGGTTTCAATTGCCTGTTCCATTTCTTTTGCTGAGGAAGAGCCCTCTGCAGATAATTCAGTTCCTTATTAAATCTTACTGTTCCTTTAATTGATCAAGAAAATGATCTGAAATCTAGCAATAATTACAGCCCTGGTGTGAACTGCTTTGATGCTTTATCCTTAATACTTAAAGCTTATATGAAGTGATATTCTGGAACTATAAGAACCAGCAAACTTATTTCATTTACAGGACTGATTAGGAAACTTAATTTGACTTATCTTGTGTACTGTGTGTGGGGTTTGTGTAGTTGGAGGTGGACTCAGACAGTCTGACAGCTCAGTGTGACACTCTGCAGGTCGGCACAGTAGGAACCACTCATCACTCTCAGCATCACTGCAGCATCAGCATCATGCCGGGAGACAACGTGACAACACCGGGCTCACCTCCTGCTCTGCACGCTCCACGCGACGCTTGGCCTCGCGCTCCTCCTCAGCCGCCTGGGCCTCGTCCCTCCGCACACGAGCAACGTTGTCCTTGTTGCGCACGTGCCAGCTCTTCTTCGGAAGGATGTTCATTGTTGTTGCCTTGACGACTGTTGATACTGTAGGTTAGCAGTTAGCTAGCTTAGCGGGCTAGCTTCGAGTGAAGTGGGAAAGAGCACGGGCAAAACACCCAATTTGTTCATAAAACCAAAACGGTTGTAGCAAGAGGAATCTGGAGAATGAGTTGAATTGAAAGCTGTCCAAATATGAAGAATTTAAAAAGAGAAATACCACCGTTTTGGTGTTTCTGTTACCTTGCTTCCCCTTTAGCAGTTAAGCTAACGTTAGCCAAAGTCTGCTACTGTCCAAGCTAACGCTACACTTCAATAACACCGCAGCGAGCAGACACATTTAACTTGCTCCTCCACAGCAAACTTATCATTTCAGCGATTTAATGTAAAAAATAAAAATAAAAGCAAATACTGTCACCGACTTGTAATAAGAGTTGCTCCTGCTTGAGGCTGCAGCAGCCCCACAGGAACCAGTTGACACAAACAGGAAGTAAACATTGGCCACACGTATTTTAAGTACCACACTGTGGACACTGGAGGGTACTATAACACCTCACATTTTATTATGTAAAAGGACAAAGGACATACTGTAGCTGTCTACATTAGCAGGGACAGACAAAAATGAGGCATGCATGGCATTTATACACAGCTTTATGTAATTTAAACACATGTTACACAAACAAAATATCTACATCTGTCTTAATGTACATCTCATATATCTGTTGGATTGTTATCATCTATGTATACTGCACATGTTCTCTATACTTTTGCACCTTCCTTGGACATTATTTTGGACATTCCTGCACAAAACTTTACAGTGCTTTCGTTTTAAAACAGATATATTGAGCTTAGTATGTTTACATATTTTTATTTCATTGTTTAAATTCTGTAATGCTTTATTGGCATGACATTTCTTGTGTTGCCAAAGCACAATTACAATTAAAGACAGTGGAAATTCAAAAACAGGTAACAACAATATATTATTATAAATGTAGAGACATACATTTTAAGTGAGGAAAAAAATGTATTAAGTGAAGGAGTAAATAAAAAGGCAGAGTGTGATCTGTGATGAGATGAACTATATGTTGTTGTGTTGGTTGTCTCCTAGGCTGTGACATGCACTGACATATGTTGCTGCATCTATGGCACTGACACGGTTTTCTCCAAGCAGGTGTTGCATTTTAGTCCTGATGTCTTCATATGTGCTTCATTGTAGCCCTGTCTCCACCTGTCTCTGAGGACAGAGCTGACACAGTCTGTCTTCTCTAGGCAGCCAGGTCTGCCTGTATCTGTCAGTCTCTGTGGCCAGGCTGTGATCACTGAGTCTGTACATAGTCAGTATCTTTCTCAGTTTCTGATCTGTCACACAGATAGTTTGCCATAGTGTACTGTCTTCACTTCACTATTACTTTTATTTTCTCTTACAGTGTTTACTGTATATGCACCAAAAAAGTCAAATTCCTTGCACAGGAAATCCTACTTGGCAATAAACCTGATTCTGATATACTGCTAGCTTAGTTTGGTGAATAATGAACAGGTTTTAATTTACTTTTTTCAGCTCTTCCTAACAAAAACTATCTCTCTCTACTAAACTAAACCCGAGCCAGCCTTATATAACTAACTACCTCTTAACATGGTCCCTCCGGTATCTTCAGTACTGTGCTCCTGCAGTATGTTCTAGTATCTGATGTCGACTCAGCTCCGTAATCTGCTTCACCAAGAACTGCTTGTCACGGCCCTCCTGTAAGCCAGAGACCCCCCACTGCATTAGTAAAACTGAATGAGAGTATCAGGAGGCTAACCCACATAATACCAAATTCAACACCATGTAAGTCTTTGCTTTACAAGTCACTGTACATATAAATGCCAATAACTTACCAGTTTGAGTTGAGTTCTTAGCAGGGCAACACTTTTCCCATAAACAGAAGCTAAGGCTATGAAATAACACATCACCACACTGCCGGGGAGAAAGGAGACATTATTATAAAATAGTAAAATCGTAAAATGGACAGTAAAGGGTTGTATAATGTGCAGATAAAATACAGGCTGCATTTTCTATTAACTTTTAGGTACATTACAGCAGAATAATGATAGAAAGTCCACTCACCAGGATAACACAAACAGGGGGATGGAGAATGCCTGGGAGCCAATGAAGAAGAGAAACTCCTTTGTGACTTTAGAGAGGCCGTAGAAAGATGTTGGAACAATCAACCACATGTTGGGGAAGAAACGGAAAGGACCGCAGCCCATAGAAGGATGGATCCTGGGTGGAGGGAGGGAAACACTGGTCTTCAACAATGTGATATAACATGGAGAACATTTGTATATCCAGTGTTTCTAACAGTGACACAACTTATTCGAGTCAAAGGCTTTTACAGAGGTGATTTGGGATATCTCTTTTTATCACTCCATAAATCAGAAAATACTGTCAACAGCCATAAGAAATCCATTTTTGCCATGTTGTATAAATCAGGCTATTAGTAATATATGAATGACCTCCTCTGTAAAAACCTTCAGAATATAGATAGGAATAAAAACTAGAAAGTTTGTTGTATGTAAGTGTTACTGAGATGGAGATTTCTGGCTCAGAGTATGAGAAAAAACTCTCAGGGACATCCTTGCTTGTTCCAGCGAGACAATGCCAAGCCACATTCTGCATGTGCTACAACAATGTGGCTTCGTAGTAAAAGAGTGCGGGTACTAGACTGGCCTGCCTGCAGTCCAGACCTGTCTCCCATTGAAAATGTATGGCGAAGTCATATATCAAGCAAGAACTGGAAAGAATTTTACTTTTTAAATTTCAACAATCACTTTCCTCAGTTCTCAAACACTTACTAAGTGTTGTTAAAAGAAAATGTGATGTAATACAGAGGTAAACATGCCCTGGTCCAAACTCTTTTGGAACGTGTTGCAGGGATCAGAAGGAGTGTATATTTACGAAAAACAATCACTTTTATCTGTTTGAACATTAAACATCTTGTCTTTGTACTGTATTCAGTCAATAATATAGGTCAAAAAGGATTTCCAAATCATTGCATTCTGTTTTTATTTAAGTTTTCCTCAGCGTCCCAACTTTTTGGGGTTGTATTTTGTATCTAATTGTTCTTAACCTGTCTTCATCATTCTTTAACTATAACACAACAAATATTAGATGACTAATTTTCACTCTTGCTGCCTAAAAAGAAGCAATGAAAAAGCAATTACAGTTTTAGACTAAAAATAAGACACTACAGGTGAATGGGTTAAAACTTCTCACATAGATTCAACCATAAAATTACAAGTTTTCTGACTTTTTATATTGAAATATATTTATATATAATATATAATATAAAAATATAAATATTATATAATATATATAATATTTATTTTGGACATTTTCTTTCCTATAGTCTAAAAAAAGACATAAATCAAAAAAACGCAAAATGTCAAAATTTGAGAAGCTATGTTTCCACCTGGGGTGTCTCGCCACAAATCAAACCTAATCCTGCCAAACTTCTTTAAATGTTTTACATTCAGATATGCAGAGCCAGCTTTAAAATAAAAAACACTCACTCAGCAAGACTGTAGACCATGACCATTGCGGCCAGGCCAAAGCCGAACAGGAGCACCACCAGGAAGAAGAAGGTGGAGGTGGTGGAGCGAAACGTCTTCAGTGCTGGACGACAATTATTGAAGAGTGTGATCTGAGGAGGAAAGTGGCAAAGCAGAGTGTTGGTGACCAACAAACTTACATTGTGTGAAATGTTGGCTGAGTTAAATCTTCACCTTCTTGAAGTAGAAGAGGAGGATAAACTTGATGGTGTTGATGAGCGGCAGCAGAGGGCAAAACAGAGCTCCTGTCCAAACCACAGTCTGACCATAAACCAGCCCAAGCACATTGGCAGGAACTACGAACTCCTGCCGACCCACCCACTGGGTCAGTTTATTGGACCAGTGGTCCACCACGATCCTGACACACACAAAAACACAGTGCAGTCACACAGCTGCATATGTCACTCTCAACGTGATCTACACACCAGAGGTCATTGACAATAAAGTAATAGTAAGTGAGTCTCAAGTCTGCACACAAGTTCCAAGTCAAGTCCCAGGTCCTAAACTTTGAGTTTTGAGTCCAAAACAAGTCTTAATGTGCTCCTCTTAAAATGTAATGCCATTTTAACAGCAGAGTAATAACGTTAGCTAAGCATTAGCTTGCTATACTAATGGTCATGAGCTCTGGGTAGTGACTGAAAGAATGAGATTGCGGATACAAGTGGCTGAAATTAGTTTCCTCCGTGTCATGGCTGGGTCCAGCCTTAATGATCGGGTAAGGAGCTCGGAATAGAGCCGCTGCTCCTTCGTCGAAAGGCATCACTTAAGGTGGTTCGGGCATCTGATCAGGATGCCTCCTGGGTGCCTCCCGTTAAAGGTGTTCCTGGCATGTCCCACTGGTAGGAGGCCCCAGGGCAGACCCAGAACATGCTGGAGGGATTACATCTCTTCAGGCCTTCGAAAACCTTGGGGTCCCCCAGGAGGAGCTGGAAAGCGTTGCTGGAGAGAGGGACGTCTGGGGTGCTTTGCTTGGCCTGCTGCCCCCGAGACCCGGCCTCAGATAAGCAGATGAAAATGGATGGATGTGCAACTTAAAATGTCGAATGAATTTGGGAGTTGTTGCATCTCTGTCTGTAATTTTTTACCTGCATGTTATTCACACTACAATTTGTTGTTTGTTGACCACTGCATAATTTTTGTACGCAAACAAAATTAGCTTGGGTGTAATTTCAGGTGAAGTCACGAGTCACTGGTGTTAACGTCCAAGTTGAGTTGCAAGTCTTATTTCTGTGAGGTCGAGTCTAAAGTCATCAAACTCATGACTAGAGTCTGCACATTCTCCATCGTGTTTAACAGACACATTGTTCACATAGCGATGGGTACCTGCGTGGAATCTCCACCAGGACGAGCACAGCCATGTTGATGAGGAGGTCAAACAGTGTCAGCTTGTACATCTCCTGTCCAATACGAGTTTCCCAGCACTACATGATGAGACAGAGACAAAAAGATGAACCTGTATTACAGCATTTAAATGTTGAAAAGATTAAAAATAGACCTTGTTTACCCCAAATTCATAATCTAGGACATTATTTCCTAATCATAGCATTGTACACATAAACTGTAATTATACTCCATGTCATAAATTTTACACATATACATACATTTTACTTAAAGGTCCAGTGGGAAGGTTTTAGTGACATGCAGTGGTGATTTTGCAGAACTGAAACTTCTCCCATGTGCCAAGAGGTTGCAGGACTACAGAAGCCAATGTAAAAACACAAACAGCCAATGTCCCTGTCTAGAGCAACTGTTTGGTTTGTCCATTCTGGGCTACTATAGAACAACATGGTGGACTCCATGGATGAGGGCCCGCTCTGTATGTGGATATAAACAGCTCATTCTAAGGTAGCAAAAACCGACTTTTCTTATTTTCAGGTGATCACAAACTAATAGTT